TTTTTTTTTTTTTTTTTTTTTTTTTTTTTTTTTGGTGTTTCATACTAATTATTATGAATTTTAATTACAGACGTCTGCACTGTACGGGATTTATGGCGGATTATCCGATATGCAACCATATCTGCCTCAAATCCCTCCAGAAGCGCAACTCTGCTTCCAACAGTCGTACAACTATGCATACTCTTCTCTGACTGTTGGGGGCCAGGGTGTTCCACAATGGGGGCCGTCCAGTCAAGATTTCTCCCAGGACGAATACATTCCCCCCATGAGGACACAGTCACACACCGTCAGGCATCAACCCGCCCCCAACATTGGTGGGGTAGAAGATCTCGGGTCCGTCCCCACGCTCAGCCGTCTACCCAGCCCTTCCCACCTCAGCCGCCCCAACCCTTCTCACCTCAGCCGCCCCAACCCTTCTCACCTCAGCAGCCGTCCGCCCAGACTACTACATACCTCAGCCGCCCCAGCCCTTCCCACCTCAGCAGCAGTCCGCCCAGGACTACTATATACCTCAGCCGCCCGAGCCTCAACAAGGTGAGATTTTTAAATTAACAATTTTTTTTTTCCAGTCCAATTTATGATTTCTTTTTTCCAATTGAATTACTCAGATGATGAAGAAGATGACCAAGCTTTTCAAGCTGACACGCTTCTTACACCTCAACCTCAAATTGTATATGCTCGGAGGGGGTCCAGACAGCGCAGGCCTCCGAATCCATACACCCCTAATTAGTTAGTTGTGATGAATTCGTGGATTTTGTGTTTCATTTTCAAATGTTGGATTGCATGTACAAACTGAATTATATCGTTTTGTATATATTGTTTGTTTAACAAATGATTGTGTTTTTTCATTTGTTTCGTTATAGTGTATGTTGGATTATTATTGGGCGGATATGTTGATATTAGTTGCTCGAACAAGTACATTTGATTTTTGGGTAAATTTGATTTTACCAATTTTTTGCAATTTTTTTCTTTTAAAAACGTACTTAACAAATACATTTTACGTTAAATTAAATTTAAAATATGAAAATAATTTAAAACGTATTTCATAACCCTTCTTCTTTTCTCTGCCTTTTCTCTACTGCATTTAGGAATAGCAGATGCGCGGTCAAAAGCATGGCCTCAGCAATCATGATATTGAAGGATGGGACCTAAACGAAAAAAGGTTGGTGGATTTTCTGAAAATCATTTTTTAGATCTAACCAAATACGTTTCCATGATTAAAAAAAAATTAAAAAAAAATATCTAATTATTAAACGTATTTATGAAATACGTTCTTCTGTTTTAAAAAATTCAAAAAAAAAAATAAAAAATATAAAACGTATTTTGTAAATACATTTCTGTAATTAAAAACAATTCAAAAAAAATATTTTTAAAACGTATTTAAGAAATACGTTTTCCTGTTGATTAATTTACTTAATTAAGATAATTAATTAAAACTTTATTCAAGAAATATGGTTTTTAATTAATGTTTCTAGAAAACGTATTCTTTGAATACGTGCTTTTTATTTTCGTCCACCCATTTTTTTTTTTTTTTGTCCACTTATTTATTAGTTTTTTTTTTTTAGTAGAAAATTCTTCTAATAAAACACCTCCTTAGCATACAAAGAATTACATGCCCATTTGTAGGGCATTGAAAGTACAGATTTTTAATTTACTGCCACCAGTATTAGTCGTTGATTTTCAATCACCGAAAGACCGAATCCAGTCGAGCAAACGAATCCATGTTTTCCCGCAAAGCCGGGATAAACAAGCAAGATGAGGAGGGATATTGGATAACAAGACCAAAAAGCCCATAAGATTGTAAATTAAGACACTAAATGCATAACAAACAAGATATTTTCTGTGCATGGAAGAAGCTACAGACCTTCCCTCAAGACATTTCACCTGATCAAAAAGAAACTAAAAGGAGGAAAAAAAAAAGAAAAAAGAGTAAAATGATGTTATCCATATTTACAACAATCACCTTGCACTAGCCCCATCAGCCAGAATCGAGAATATCATTCAACGGTTAGCAGACGAGCAGGAGCTGCACATTTCACGCCACAGGAAGCCAAGAAAACGTCCATCATCGAAAATTCACCCAAAACCCCATGGCTCTCTGTAAAAGAAATGCACCTTAATAGCAGAATTTTTTTCGTTGTTAATGCCAAACAAGCCCCACCCATTGAAGGAAATTCTCTGCATGGTGTTGGCTCCTCTCAAAAAAAAAATTCCCAAAAATAAACCAACTATTTTAGCCAAAAACTCAGCTGTCCTCATCAACCGCCCCAATATACGTGAGGTCCGTCCTTCTCACTCTCACAGCCCCCTTGAGCCAATTGCACGCCTTCAAATTCATATTATCACCACTTATACTGGTTGAGTTGGCTGAAGGAGGGCCCAACCCGGTCCCATCCTCCAGAAGAGTCCACTGATCGATAATATCGGTGTCAGTATCCTGTTGTGGCTTGCTCTTCAGATTTGAGGACGAGCGAATGGAAAGATTTCTTTGAGGAAAAGGCAGGTTTGAATTGAATTTGGTCACAGTATTGCTTGGCTGAAGACAGGCGAGGGCATTGAAGGACACTGATGGTGGCTTGCAAGGGACAGAACAGTTGAAGTTTGGGAAAATAGTTGGCATTGCAGTTTGGATACGCCACCGGATTATCTCGGGCAATTCCATACGGTTCAACTCTTTCTGCATTAATACAAATATGGATAAGACATGACGTTCCATGATTTTAATATTACACAGCGTGAAGTTTCAACGTTCCTGTGCGAAAAAACTACCCTTCAGTTTCGGGCTAAAAATAGAAAAACCAAATCATTAAATTTACCATCCCCTTTATATTCTAAACTTGCAATCTCGAGAAAGCGGTAATTGCTAGGAGTACAAAGACCAAGGTTTAAGGAATTGTAACTTTTAAAAATAACTGGATTTCTTTTTTTTTTTTTTTTTGGTTGGTAGTCAGGCAAAATCTCAGGGATATTCTAGTAGTAATATATAATTAATATTGTTAGGAGGTGGGGCGATGTCAAACCTGCATGTTTTCTGCAACTTCATGATCAAAAGCGGTGTATCCCTTGCTGGGCTGGGTGTCCTTGGATTCAGACTTGGGCTTCAACCAGCTGGGCTGGTGACAGCTTAGCAACACATTCAGTACCAACAATAGACAGTCGAATATACCTTTCCCACATAAAAGTTCGCCATCAGCAGAAGTTTCCTTGAGATATTCCAAGTCTCTTTTTGGCGTAACAAATGATTGACTATTGACAAAATGGCCAGCATCTTCATGCACAACCCTGCTTCCAAGGAGACGCAAAAGAACTGTAGCAAGACCATACCTCATATTCCGAACTGAAGGCTCCCTAAAAAGCATGCAGTAGGAGATAGTAAATGATTAAGTATCAACGAGCATCAAAATAGTTATTTTTTTCAATGAACAAGCGAAAAGGACAGCAAAGCGAGGTTCTACATTTACTGATCAAGCACACAAACCAAGAAATTAGCCTTTGAAAGTTCACTGAATCAAACAGCCTGAAATTATAGGCAATTCATAATCCCTTTTATACAACATACATCAAGATTTTTCCAGAAGCACAGATATATCATAAGATTTGACCAGCAATCAAAATCAAGGACAGTCAACTGTAGCAATATTTTTGGTCACAGAATTCAAAGGTGAGAACAAACTAGCACAAATTAAAAGACCAGCTATGACCATTTGAGCAAACAAAAGGATACTGCCAGAAAAGAAAAAAAAAATGACTATGAAGGACACACAGTCAAAGATAAAATATATCACAATCGGACAAATAACATCTCACTCACACGTGCCTGGCTGTCCGAGCACAGGCATCACAATCAAAAAGTAAAATTTACCTGTCTGCACAAATAATTGGGAGCAACCTAATCAGGAACTGCAATCTCAGAGTCATAGATGCCCGCAAAGCTGCAGGAGAAGGAGGAACAGTATCAATTGATCCAGTCGACTGCCTCGATATTCCTGGACTCCCACTTTTTCCACTTTTTCTGTGGCTACTTTTATTTGCAGGAGTTCCGACTGCAGGACTGGGAGCCATAGCTTGCTTGCCGACTCCACAAGTAACTGCATTTATTTGTTGCTCGATATTACTAATTTGCTTGATCATTTCACTTGCAAAATTATAACGCTGGTCATCCGAGCCTTGATCCAGACACGGACGGATTAGCTCAACAAGAGCTCTTTCGGTCACGTGCTGTTGACTGACGATAAAGCCTTCAACATCCAAAGCACCCAATCCTTTTCCACATGAGTTTGAATCTGCTCCTTCATCAACAACTTCCCCTTCTTCTAGGGCGCAGCCTTCAGATTTCCATTTTTCGCCTTTGTTAGCTAATAAGTTAACATCAGAAGAGCACCATCCCCATGGCTTGCAGTGCTGGGGTTTTAGGGAGAGTTCTTTAAACTCGGCAGCAATATTTACAACCTTCTGCCGGATCGATTTTTTCCCATAAAGAACTTCAGCACCTCTCAGTAGCCATTTTGCTTGAGACAGCATTGAATCCTCGAGCGATTTTCCCAAGAGATGGACAAGCTCAGAAAACAAAGGAGCTGCATCGGGCCTGACCAGTAGCCTGGTGAGAATAATTTGAATGAAGTTGCTCTCACTCTCAGAAGCAGTACTTTTGTCCGGATTAGGTGCGAGAGACTTTATGGCCTCGATCAAGGAGATATCAATCTCCATCTTCTCATTGATTGCCTGCTCGTTGAGTAGGAGCCTCAGCTCAATCCACTGCCAGTGAAATCTCGCTGGCTGCAATGTATCCAACACATGCACAAGCTTGCTCATAAGCTTTTTCACGTTTTCCCCACACTGTTTTTTCAACAAACCATGCCCGCTAACCCTATTCTTGTCAGCCATTGGTAGAGGCAATTCACATTCTATGAGAGAATCCAGGAAAAGTCTCGAACGGAGAGGAACCACGGCGGCAGCTTTCAAATTAATATCAGCACCACTAGCTTCTAGCAAGGAAACAAATTCAAGATCAAGGTTATCTTCAGCTACGAGTTCATACAGGACATAAGTGTCTCTCAGACATATATCACGAAACGGCAGGTGCTTTATAACATCACCCATACATGTGATCAATAACTGATACAATTGGTTGAAATCTTCACGTACTCCAAAGCATGCATCAAGGATGGGTTTCCATACAACAAAAGCAAATATAGAATAGGCAGGAGGGAAAACCACATTCAATGACAGTGTTCGCTGCATCCTAGATAGAGCTACAATTGAGGCTTCACCTAAAAGATCCACAATAAATCCATCGCAAACAGTTCTGCAATTCCCCACGAGGACCCTAAACCAGTTCACAGAAACTTCAATCACATTATCCACTTTCAGAATCACCATGGAACGTGAATTACCATTTACATTGGACTTCAGACCCCTTGCAAACTGAATAAGATCCAGCCCTTCCTTTAATCTAAACAGACTCACCATCCTCTCTAGACTAGCTACTCCCTGCAGAATTGAACCAATGACAAGTGCACAAACAGCACAGGATATTCTAGCTGCTCTCCCAAGAACTGTTGATTTGTTTGAAGTTTCATTTGATAAATTAGAACTGAAATCGTGAGTTTCTGGGGACAACTGATATTGACTTCGAGCCCCCTTTCCAGGGGCAATAGCTTGCATAAGAACTGAAGAAGCTTCCGTAGCAAAAGCAACTTCAAAGACCCGGCTCTGGCGTTCTCCAAGAGCTTCCTTCAATACGCGCAAGCAAGTGATATGAATGCGTAAAATGTGCCGTGCAAAATTTAACGAGCCGGAAGGTGGAGACGAATTTAAGCTATTAGTGCCCGAAGTTAGGTCAGGAATTTTAGCAACAACCTGTCCAACATTATTAACGATTGCTGCAACAGCCGAAGACACCAGAGAGGGGTCACCTTCCTGAGCGGCCCCACCAGTTTGCCTCATGCAGTCCATCAATCCAATCACTATTTGCTTAGCCATCTGGTGGCTGTCCTCCCACTTCTCGGCCATAGCACTTCTGTTAGAGCCATATCCAAAAGGCTTCCTATCTTTTGTATAGAAGTATTGGAAAACTTCATCTATATGTCTGTTCACTATTTCTTTCATGTTCAGACCAACTCTGGACATTCGGACGCTACTAATCTTTTGACGGAAATAATCATCAGGGTCTTCAACTCCGTTTGGGACACAGAAGGGAAATCCGAAGTCCCCTTCAGAAGATCTTCCAGATTCAAGCTCGGAACTAAGTCTTTTATCACTTGTGGATGTAAAATTCTTTTTCCATTCAGCAACACTAGCTGCATTGCCATACTTCCTCAGGAGGTGACGGGCGTAAACCATGGATGGCAAACTAGAAAGTCTGCCGTTAGATGCCAAGACTGCTGCAGCATGATGCATTGCGAGAGACAAGGTTTCAGGAATTAGATCAGCAACAACGATTACATTTTCATACCTGAAAGCGAGCAAATATCAATTAACAAGACGAATAAGTAAAAATTGATTGATATTTTTCTGGTAACTCATCGGCTAACCGCTTCTAAAATTATACTACACAATTTTTACTTTTTTCGGCTAGCAAATGAAAAGTTAAAAATATTCTTTTATTTGGAAATTAGCTAGAGCCTAGAAAGTACTTCGAGCACCAAATATGCCTATAGAATTACCAGAAAGAAAACGACATTACTATCAGATTTCATACAATTCTGAAAGTGCTCTTATTGTTTTTCTTCAAACTTCAAAGCTAAATTGCTAGCTTATGTGAGAGCCTAAAGTTAAATCCAGGCCTTTTTTTTTCTGGAAAAACAAAAAAGACAACGTGGACAATAGGATACTTACCCATCATTAACAGTGGCTAATAAAAAATCACAAGAAATGTCACATTGGCAAGAGAAGGATTGACACAATAATATACAGGTTTATCATATTCGTCCCCTAAGTTTCAGCCATTAGTTCATTTAATGGTATGGAGATCACTATAAGATTGAGACGGTTGACTAATAAACAAAGACTTAAAAAGAAACAAAATAAACCAACCAATTGGGATAAAGCTGAATACAGAAAATTGCAAGTGTAGAAGCTAAGCACACCTGCGAATACATGATAAGAGAAATGCCTCCCCTACTTCACATGCATGGTTTTCAGCATTCCTAGAATGCATGAGAGTGTTCCTGTTTTGGACGATAGAACTCATTTTGCTTGAAAGCTTAGGAAACAACCAAAGAAGAAACCTTGCAGCAGACACTATTTCATCACAAACGTCCAATATATATAAAATTGCTGACAGTTCATTTTCACCAAGTCTCCATCTCAAGGAGTTCTGACCATCAGCAAGTGCCATTGGCCTACCATATGGGCCACCCTTGGCAGCAAGCTTTTCACTCTCTTCAATAAAACGCTTAACAACGGATATCAACCATGCAGCCACAGTCCTCTTGTTAACAAACCGCTTCTTCTTCAGAATTTTTCCAATTAAAAGAATATCCGCCGAAGGTGGTTTTCTGGACCCCTCTACAGATTTTGAGATGTCATCAAAACCAGTTCTATGATGAGGACAATCTATCCGGCTTTCACATACATGGCTCGTTGATGCTCCTTGACTGCCTTCAATCCGAGCATCGGCTAACTGTGCAAGAGTTTGAGTTTTACGGACATTTTTCTGCCTACCTCTTGATGACTGTTTGGCAGGCTTGGGGGGTGGCTCCGTTCTGGAAGATCCCACATATTTTAGTCCCTTACTTGCCCACCATAACTCTTCTTCATCTGCTGGCCATGAAGTCTTTTCGTCATTTAATTTCTGTCTTTTCATTCTTTTGCATTCTTCACATCCTGATATTTCTTCACTGGAATCGACTCCATTAGTAGGACCACCGGGCCTCTTACTGCTCCCTCGAGCTTCATCATTTCCAGTGTCTAATCGACATACAGACGTGGGTAAATGCAACAGAGCACAAATTGAATCCTTTAATTCTTCAAGCTTGAAATCCACGTCAATAGAAGATGGTGAACCACTTCCACCTGTGAGACTAAATGGATGTTTCTTTTGCTTAACTGAACCAATTGCATTGGCAGTAGATTTTTTATGTTCAAATAGCCCATAAAGCACCAGTCTCCGTTCATTTGAATAAATATCCATTACCTCCACTGTGCTTGGTGTTCCAATTGTTTGTTCTATAGCATCGCAGACATAAGAAGCAGGCAATTCCTTCAAGAGTTTGCAATGTCTTTTTTGCCTTTCCAATTCAACCATAGGCCCATTCCTTTCCATGATTCCACTTATAATCAGCTGTCTGACATATGCCTGAGGACTAAAAATGCCAGATTCAATCAATTCTCTAATCAGAAGCTGCAAGCGCTTGAAACCTTCTCCACTATGCACTTCATGCTGATCAACCCAACATACCATAATATCATGCAAAGGTCCAGGACTCACGGAGATATCAGAAATACCTCCACTTCTCTGCCTCTCGGAAGGGCGCAGATTCGGCATGTCACTCATCCTCTGTTTTAGAAGTCGAATTGCTATGTATATCCGAGACATGTCTCTTTTACCAGTGAACTTCACACCTTGAGGAGGTGTGGCACGAAAATCCCTAAATTCACAAGTCGCCCACTCGCATATAAAAAAGATAGAGCAAACTAAAGATGATGCTACAGTACTGATGTGCTCCAGTGACGTATATAAGAAGGGGCTCACTTGTGAAATCCAGCTTTCAGCCCAAGCTCCATACCACATATTTTCAAAGAGCAATTTGTAAGCAACCCCAATATCTCCATGCATGACAGCTTGGTCCAACACTCGCGAGCCTTTAGCTACATTATGTCCAGAATGATTAGGTTTGGCCGCTCTTGATAAAGTCTCTGCACATTTTTGAATCAAGGATACGATGCCAAGAGAGGATGATGGCTCAGTCTGAGCATCTCGAATCTTATCTTTACAGACACCATTGACTTCAATTTGACTATTTTTCACTCTCCTAGCATCCTCAGTCATTTTGGATAAGAAATGTCTGTCATTCACAGCATCACATAATACACATGCTGGCAGAGGAAAACAATCCAAAGCAACAAAAGTGTCCGGAACAGCTAGTATTAAATATCGGACCATCTCAATAAGAGCAGTAGTTGTATACGCACTTCTAGAATTATGAACAAGATCAGAACCCCCTGGAGAAGGCTCTCGTATGAAACGAATGGCTACTCCAACCAGACTGCGCACATACGTCTGTGATAAGACAACAGTTTCTATAACGCCATATATGATGGGCAGTAGCAACTGCAGAACACCAAGCAATTCCATCTCCTGCAGCAACACGAATATGGAAGTCAAAAGCCAAACAGAAATTCAAATTCATCGGTATTTCAGAAATCACATACAGCCCCTTAGTTACTAATTGTACCTTCAGTTGATTAAGAACCCAATCCGTAATCAAAGAAGGAATAAGAAGTCCTTCAGCATAGTGCCACTGAATAATCCTTACAACATACCACCATTTAGTGTTAAGTGAAGGCTCCCCAACATCCACGACAGACGAAAATGAATCACTTTTTTGCTGCACTGAACCAGCATAAACCATTTGTGATGACCGTTGTCGCACAGGCAAAGTTGAATGAGAAACATTTCTTGCCATGAATTCATCCAAGAGGTACTGCAAGTATTCAATAACATCTTTTGTCCACAGCTCTGAACGTGACAATTGAGTTTTTTCATTGACACTCAATGATGAATTAGAAAATGCCCCACGAACCTGTGATAATTTACCATGTGATTTCATTTGCATTAAAATAAAAACAAATTAGTTCAGAAAAAACCTCGTAATCACTGCTCCACAAGAACAAACCTGATTAAGGTAATTTACTTTGATGAACCATGTAGCTCTCAATAATGGAACATTATTTTTTATAAGGATTTCAAACAGAGATTTCCTTCTATAACCATGAGGAACATGGTCAGCCAATAAGCGCAATCTTTTATGCGGTTGGGATAATCCCTGGAAAGAAGATTAAAGATTTAGGAGTTTTTTATACACTTAAACATTTTGAGGTATGGGAAGATGAAATATAACACTAAGAAGCAACAAAATTTACATAAAGTTCCAAATGAATAAACATTAGATTTACGGATTTCATCCAACCGAAACAAGAAGATTACCAAAACAGTAGGAACTCTTTAGATTGAAGGAGTACGGTACATCTAAGAAACAAGGGCATCATGCATCTTAGTCTCACCAATTATTTTTTACAGTTCCATTCAGATAATCACCAAATCAATTTTACCAAGGAGAACGGAAGTTACTGAAGCCCAGTCAAGATGCACAACAAAGTTCAACAGGACCCTCTTGCCGTTAAAAGAAAGTACGACGCCTCATCAAATAACAACATGCAACATTCCAAGACCCTATATCATGTGATACAAGAGTTAACCAAATAAATATGGTTAACATAGACCCTGTTGGAAAATCTTCAAGGGTACATAACAATATCAGTCTATTTTAAAATATGTGATTTTATACTCATCAACCACAAAAAGCAGGAAACTATCTAAAGTCTTAAATGAGGACAGGTTTGACAGTTGCATTATATTTTCCTAATTTTTAAAGGAAAAAAAAAAAAAAAAAAAAACCTCAATCCATTTCTTCTTGAAGTCTTCCCCGCATGGTCGAAGATCAGGGAATGCACCATACTTAGTGACTGATGAACCAGAAAGTGGGACCCCATAAACTTGACCTGCCTGCATATCAAACATACAATCTAAACTTAATATCCGGAAGGCATTAGAAAACAAAAGCATTGGTCTAAGGAAGCAAAACACTTTATTCACAAGTAATGAAATAAGATATTTTTCTTCCCCTTCAGAGATGAGCAAAGGGAATATATGAAGACCTTTCTTTTCTGCATACGAGACTCATTGATAGCTCTATGACATTTTCTGATTGCCTGGAGAAATTAAGAGTTCAATAAGCTTGATACCGTCTTATAATCTTATATGCCTCATAAAGGCACATCATGGCTATAGCAGTGAACACATAGGAGAAAAAACAGCTCATTAATCCTCCTAGTGTATGCATTACTTCATACCTCTTTGCACTTAATAATTACGGGCTTTGTGAGCACTGGAACCTGAGATAGTGAGATTTCTCTAGCTTCCTGATCAATTTTCACCACAAAGAAATTCAAAATTTTATCCCAGAAGGCGAGACAAGGAAATCATTAGCCAAATATTTGCATAAATACCTCAAGTCCTTCAACAGCTTCTCTATAGCCAGATTGCACATACTCCCGCGTAAGTGTCTCCTCAGGACAGTTTGGAGTCGGCGGCTGGAAGTCAGGTGGTCCAAGTCTATTATCATAGGAAACAACAGATGTAGTACGGTGCAAATTATGATAACATGCAAAACAAAGCTGAGAACAAACATGTATGTGATTCTTAAAAAGGTTCGGAAGGATAAACAATTTACACTAGGAGATCATAGCCTTTCTACTCAATTGACCCACAGGTCATTCGTATGGAGTAGGAGATCAACAAATCATAACTTTCCCCCACATACCTCTTTACAGGCCGTAAAATTGAAAAAAAAAAAAAGGAACAAGGAAACGAAAGATAATAACAAAAATAATTCACGTGTCACAGCAATTACCGGGAATTCAACTGTTCCTTTTCACACCTCACTTTGTATGGTGCTGGTGGGGATGAGCGCCTGAGTACACTAGATAAACCAACCAATTAAGCTTAAAATTTCAGATAATTAGTTACTTGTGATTTAAAGTAGAAAGTATGGTTTTCAGAAATAACATTACAACAAGAAAATGAAGAATGCAAATTAATAATTCAGCTCAACAATTTTCAAGTATCAATAAATGTAATTGTTTATACTCGCAAACACAACAAGAAAAGATGCTTCAAGTTTTATGAAGCTCCCACCCACCTCAATAACATAGTTTCTTCTTATAAACCTTTAGTTTCTTGTTATAATTATCAAAAACTCATCCATCACAAGTTACCACTTCATTAAGTACTTAACTTTCAACTGTCACTTATCATAAAACAAATGAACTCTTAAATAAATTATCTGTAAGACACAAATGTCAAAGTCAATACTTTAGATGCTTCACTCCCACCAACAGTGAACTGAACAACGATGAAAGATTCTTTTTTTTCTTTTTTACATGAGTCCGTCTAAACAATGTAAGCCACTTTCGTTCACATTTTATTTTAATTATAATGTTCACAGAATGTGACACAGAAATTTAATAAAGAGAGATCTTGAAAGGTTTAGGAGCTCATAATTCATTAAGCAACATCTTCAACTGGGTCTAATGCACACCTACAATAGCGTGACATAAATATTTCATAGTGGCATAAAACCAGATTATATAATGATGAAACTATCATCTGACATTCAACCAGGTCAAATCATCAAAACTCACTTCAAGTGAATCCACCATTGTGCCCCCCCTCCCCCTCAATTCAATCATGTAAATACCCTTGCGGTAGTAATAACCAAAAAAAGCAAATACCTTGGGTTCAGAGAGAAGGTTGGTGGTACAACAGGTGATTCAGCACGGGACGCATCCCTTGCTTGAATCCCCCCAAAAGCACTGTTATTGACTGCACTAGTGCAGCTTCCTCCATGATACCTTTGCATCTCTTTCGACAATCATCTGCATGCTGCCACCAGCATCAAGGTGCAGCCAAATATATGCTCTGCCCAATCTGTGACAGCAGCCTGCCGCCTCTTCAGAACAATAATTCATTCAGTACTTATCAAGAAACGTCGAAAGAGCAAAGAGCTTGATGGATGAATGAGAAAGCAGCCATTGGATATTTGCAAGTAAAACGTGTGGTAGGAGTACACCTATTTTGGCATTTACAAGCAAGGAATTCATGCAAATGATTTCAAATGACTCACAACACAGTTAAATAAGCTTAAAAAACAAAACAGGGAAAAAATATTAAAATAGGAACCGAATTTACTAACATGCTAAAAAGATTTTCTGAAATTTTAGCTATTATTATATCTCCATCCAAATGAAGCCTAAGAGATTTAGCCGGTAATAAGAGTAAGACATAGGTTTCTTTCTGACTTATCCATGAACATCAATGAATATAGAAAAGCAATTTATATTGTCAGCGCAGATGACAATGTGAAAATACAAAACATGTAGAAATAAAACAATGTGGCCCATAACAATGTGACAATATTTGCTTAGGGGGAGCCCAAATATTAGAGGATCCAGATTTCTAAGACCTAGTTTTTACCATTTACGTTAAATAGAGAATGTGCAGATAGAAATGCATTTGACTATACTTTTCAAACGTAAAATTGGTAAAAACTTACATTGGTCAACCATGGCGCAAGATATAATTAATGGATTAGCAAATCATATGATTGTCGATTGAACAAAATACATTAGAAGAATTTAATGCAAAATATGAAGTTGGTGATGTTTCATCCAAAAATGCTATAAGAATAAGTTTAAAGTGAAAAGTAACAGATTACCATATTTTTTATGATTTATTGTAGTGAATCTTTTTATTAATGCTGATACATAAATTTTACTTTATTTTCGAAAGGGGCTCCAAAATTTATTGATCGGTCATGACAGCGAACCCAAAATTTCTTTCCACTTTAACAAATTCACAAGTTATTAAAGTCCAGTTTCATTCGGATTTAACTATCTAAAAAAGAATAATAACTCATTGCGCTAGCCGACAAGCGCGAGCATATATTTACACATGAACTGATAACATGAATCCAGTGCACGCAATTCTATTAATATTTATTCGTTACCACAAAAAACAGGAACATTGATTACTTCAAACAGCAATGTCGGTTATCCGTATTTCCCAAATGACCAAATCCCGAAAGGTGAAGTCAAGATTATCACGCATACACTATTTAAACTTACACAACTTCCCTGCAGCAGCTTAAAACATTCGATCAGACGAAAAGGCACAGGCACCACTAATGTTTCCACTTAATCAACTCCCACCTAAACTATCAAAATGCAATAAAGCTAACCAATTTTTACATCGTATAAAAACTAAATAAACTATAAATCAACAACCAATTAGTCCAACAGTGCAACAACAAACAAAAAACTGAAACGTACCTGATCAATAAAGATTGGGGATCCTACAAGTTAAACAAGAATATCACAGAGAATGAGTTGCGCTAGCGAGGTTTCAGGGGGTTCAAGATTCAATAAGGTTTCAAATTGAGCAAAGCTAGGGTTTTTCAGAGGCGAACTCAAATCAAGCAATTGGAGAGAGAACTTTGGGGAGACGAAAGGGAAGACATTTTCGATTCGAGCACCAAAAAATCTGTACTTTCTGCGAGATTAGGGATTCGAAAATCTGAGCAGGGGGAAATCAAATTCAGATGAATTTGGGGACTGTGTGTGTGTGCCGTTTTGTTGTTTTGTGTACGTATTGATGTATGTATGTGTTTTTTTTTTTGCTAGATATAGAAATAAGTAGTTTTAGAGAGAGATGGGAAGTGGGGTTCTGTTTTAGTTTAGTGCATTGTTTTAGAGAGAGAAAGGGGGTGTAGACTGAAGTGAAGAGTCTTTTCTGAGACTTGATTTTGGGATGATGGTTTGACTATTAGGTGTGATTGTTTATGGATTGAATTGGTTTTTATTTGGTTTGTTTTTAACTATAGTTAATTTTAAAAAAAAGTAGTATGGTTAGTTGTTAGTGGATATATTAAAATAATATTTAAATAAAATAATTAAAATTAATTTGATGTAAAGTAGAGAAAAAATGATTGGAAGTGATAGTTAGTTAGAGTTATGTGAGTGGATGAATAGTGAATTAAAGTTGATTTGATGTGTAAAAATGATTGGTTGATATTATTTAATTATATTGATAATATTGAAGATAGTGGGGAGTTAAAGTTGAGTTAAATTTGAGTTTTGATTGGTTTTTTTACCATTCAATTTATAAACAATCACCCCAAGGCTGACGACAAAATTATGTGACTGTTGCAATTTTTATTTCTTTTTTTAGGGCTTGATTGTTGGAATTTATTATTTAAATCAAAAAAAAAAATTAACTGGACAAAAAAAAAAAA